TACAGTTTTTCCCTATTTTCTTCCAAGAGAGCTCTGAGCTCTCCCATTCCCATTCCATCCTCATGACAATTCTTTGAAGTTGGTCAGGCTGAGAGTGACTGGCCCCGGAGCACTCCGTGAGCTTCGTGGCAACGTGAAGACTTGAACTCAGGCCTTCCAGATCCTAGCAGCTCAACACTTGACCACTGTACCATGCTGCTTCTCTCGGAGAGCTGCCAAATAGACATTTCTAGATGGGTTAGTGGACTGACCCCCTTACGAAGCAGTTTGATGTTTACATTGCTGGAAATGGAGCATCAGATCTTGGATAGTTCTTTGCTTTGATGACCTTCACAGCTCACTTTTCAGCCAGGTTGTCTCCAGAGTAGCTTACAATTAAAATCTTTTCTTTTTCTTTTTTTTTAGTTTTCAGTTAAAGCCTGTTGTTGGGATGTGGATTTCTGAGTTGTGTTCGTTGGGGGGAGGGGGGGTCCACAACAAAAGATTTTTCACCAAATACAGAGCAGCGAGAGCTGGAGCTGCCAAATGTTAGGAACTGGGGACCAATGGTAAGGACAGCTGAGCTCCATGGAGGAGGAGTTGGGGGGGGATGGTAGCGTGTATGATATATGGAGAACACAGAAATCTAGCCCTGTATGTATCTGATGAAGTGTGGGTGCACACGGAAGCTTATACCCAGAATTAAATTTTGTTGGTCTTAAAGGTGCCACTGGACTCAGACTTTGTTCTGTTGCTTCAAACCAACTCGGCTACCCACCTGAATCTAACGTCTGTGTGCCTATATATAAACAGAGACACACAAAATGGGTTGGATCTGATGCTCCCTCTAAGCTGTGGAGTCTTGCGAGCAACAATTCTACTTTGTGAGCTACTGGCATTAATGTTGTGAGTGAGCGATCTGGCTAGTACATAAATTAGTTTGCTCTGGAGCTATCCTTCCTGAGCTAAGACAAAAATGTGTGAGCCGGAGGCTAAAAAACTGAGCTGGCTCACACTAACTCAGCTTAGAGGGAACACTGGTTGGATCCAATCATTCTCTTCTGCTGATCTCCCTTCAAGTGACAAAGCCTTTTTACAGTGGAGGATGGTTTTCTTATGTTGGAGAAGACCTTCATCCAATAGAGGACGGCTTTCTTAAAGATAGAGAAAGCATTCCTCCAATGGAGGGTGGCTTTCTTGTCATGAAGAAGGCGTTCCTCCAATGAGGAGAGGTCTTTCTTTGTTGAAGGAAATCTTCCTCTGTGAGAGGAAGGCTTGAAAGGGAGTCGTAGGACCCAGCCTACAGGGCGTTCTCAATATCAAGTGCTGTGTTAATCAGTTTGGAGCAATAGAAAAATTCAAGCTGTGTTTATCTCAGCACATCTACCATGTGATCGAACCCAGGAGTCCCCAACCTTTTTGAGCTGGGGGGCACCTTTGGAATCCCGACACTGGATGGTGGGCATGACCACAAAATGGCTGCCACAGTAGGCGGAGCCAGCCACGAAATCGCAGGGAGTGAGGTCACAAATCACTCCAATAGTAACTCTTCAGCACTGCAAGGCAGAACCTCTCTTTAGTGGGATGCCTTTTAAAATGAACATCCTGTTTAAAAAATATGTTGTGACGCGCACCCAGTTTATCTTCAGCAGCACGGTAACAATCGTCGTGCTGTGGTGGGACCTGCTGCTGAAGAATCCTCTTAAAACCTCAGAGCCACTCGCATCTCCAGCGGCCAATCAGAAGCCCTGGTGGGCAAAAGCCTCACCCACTTTCTAAAAGCACTTGGCAGGTGCCAAAAAAGGCGTCAGCGGCAATGTTCCCTCTAAGATGTAGAGTCTTGTGAGCAAAAGTCCTACTTGGTGAGCTGCTGGCATTAAAGTTGTGAGCGAGCGATTTGTCTCCTGCATAATTTAGTTTGCTGTGGAGCCCTCCTTCCTGAGCTAAGACAAAAATGTGTGAGCCGGAGGCTAAAAAACTGTGAGCTGGCTCACACCAACTCAGCTTAGAGGGAACACTGGCGAGCACCGTGGTGCCTGCAGGCCCCGTGCTGGGGAACCCCCGTCTAACCATCACGTGTCAGATTTGTGTCGCACCAGGAGGAAGGAGGTCTCTTCTGCAAATATCAAACAGAAGCCCAGTCATTTTTTTAAACAAACTTCACTGGCTGTTTGCCTGCCTCTTCTCACCGATGGTGAACATTCCCCAATTCTTGCCACGGCCGTTCGGGCTTTGCAGCCCGGATGCTCCTGCCGCCTGCTGAAGGCTGCCCGGCGAACAAGGCAGCCTCTGAGGTGCAGGCGCTGGCCCTCCCCAACCCCCCCTGCCCCCAGGGCTAGACTCAACATCGGCTAATCGCGGCCGTCCTCCTTCCAAGCCCTGCCAAGTGTGTTGTGATGCTGCAGCCTCGGCTAGGAGAGTTTGTACTCGGTCAGGGGGCCGGAAGGAGGTTAATAGAAGAGGCCGAGTTAGAACAAAGGCGAGAGGAGGGGGGGTATTGTTAATGGAGGCCCTGCTGAAGTGTGGAGAAGTGGCCTGCCGGGTCTGAAATGCAGTTTCGCTGCACTGGATTCTGCCTCCCTTCTGAGCGAGGATTTTATTTCTGTGGATTTGTTTCCTTCATTTATACCCCGCCTTTCTCCCCTTCACTCTCCCCTCCTCCCTTCTACCCTCACAGCAACCCTGTGAGGGAGGTTAGGCTGAACGCGTGATTGGCCCAAGGTCACCTGGTGAGCTTCTGAACGTGTGATTGGCCCACGCTCACTTCTACAGCAGAGTGGGGATTTGGTCCTGGTTCCAGCACTCCAGGAACTTCCAGAGCCTAATCCCAGCGCTCTCACCACTACATCACACTGGCTCTCGTTTTACATTTATTTAGATTAACTAGATTTAGATTTAACTAGATTTAGAATAACTAGCCAGTTTGATGTAGTGGTTAAGAGTGGCGGACTCTAATTTGGGAGAACCAGGTTTGATTCCCCTCTTCTCCACATGCAACCAGCTGGGTGACCTTGGGTCAGTCACAAGTTCTCTCAGAGCTGTTTATTTATTTATTTATTATTTATACTTTCAATTTGTACCCCGCTCACCCCCGAAGGGCTCTGAGCGGCTTACACAGTGCATGTTCTCTCAAGAGCAGTCCTCAAAAGAGCTCTCTCAGACCCACCTACCTCACAAGGTGTCTGTTGTGGGGAGAGGACGGGAAGGAGATTGTAAGCTGCTCTGAGACTCCGAGTGAAGGGCAGGGTATAAATTCAACTCTTTTTCTTCTCCATCTTCTCTGTCATCGTCTTCTTCGTCGTCGTCTTCTTGATCTCGATTTTTGTATCACACTCTTCCTGCAAGAACCTAAGGGCATACCTCTTCATTTTATCCTCACAACAATCCTGTGAGGTAGGGACGGGGAAGAGGCTCAGTGGCAGAGCCTCTGCTTTGCATGCAGAAGATCCCAACTTCAGTCCCCGGCCTCTCTCGTTAAAAGGACCAGGCCGTTGGTGATGGGAAGGACTTGAGACCCTGGACAGACACTGCCAATGAGAGTAGACAATACTGACCTTAATAGACCAATGATCTGACTTGGTATAAAGGGGGCTGCATTCCTGGAGGCGTTGTAGCTTAGTGACAGGGCACCTGTTGTGCACACTGAGGGTCCCAGGTGCAGTCCCCAGCATCTCCAGTTAGAAGGGTCAGGTAGTCGGTAGGCTTGCCAGACCCCCTCCTTTGGCAAGCCTGTTTCCTTCTGCCACTCTGAGCAACGGTGAGAGAATTAAAAACAAACAAACAATGGCATCACCAACCATAGAGTTTCCGATGATTCCTAGAGCTGCCATTTGTCACTTCCAGGTTTTACACGGAAGCGACACAGCAGCATCGCCAGTGTCGTACGCACACCCTGTTCCCACCCTCATCCCCCCACCCGTTTCCAGGCTCAGCCTGGCAAGCCTAGCAGTAGGTGATGCGAAAGACCTCCCCCCCAGAAGAGTCGACTGTGCTGATCTGGAGAGACCAAGGCTCTGACTCACCATGAAACAGTTTCATACGTTCCCTCAGTGAAGTCATGACTGTCCCAAGAGCTGACCCAGTGAGTTTCATAGCAGGCATGGGGGATTCGAACCCAGATCTCCTTAGTCCTAAATCAGCATGCCCTCCGTTACACTGGTAGCAAACACCATTAGTATCAGCCTACAGCGTGAGGTTCATAATGCCCCCTGAATTTCCCATCTGCATGTTTCTTCCCCAGGCTTCACGTGTCACGATAACGGTGCTACAGTCCTTCAGTATGCTCCAAAGCACCAGCTATTGATTTCCGGAGGCAGGAAAGGTTATATCTCCATCTTCGATATCAGGCAGCGGCAAGTCCTTCACACCTTCCAGGCGCATGACTCTGCTATTAAGGCCCTTTCCCTGGACACCTCTGAAGAATGTTTCTCTACGGGCTCGGCGGAAGGCAACATGAAGGTAGGAAACTCCACATCTGCAAATGGTCTCACTGGACAAATAAGTGATGCTTTTGGTTTCTGAGGCATCAGTTTTTTGTAGGCAGTTGAATAAATGCTTGGGATGTGTGCGTGTCAAGTGCTGTCAGGTCACAGCTGACTTATGGTGACCCCAGCAAGGGGCTCCCAAGGCAAGTGAGAAGCAGAGGTGGTTTGCCTGTAAGCCTTCCTCTGCAATGTCTTCCTTGGTGGCCTCCCTTCCAATTACTGATCCTGCTTAGCTTCTCCCAGCAAGGGGCTTTCAAGGCAAGTGAGAAGCAGAGGTGGTTGGCCATGGCCTTCCTCTGCAGAGCCTTTCTTGGTGGTCTCCCATCCAAGTACTGACCCTGCCTAGCTTCTCCCAGCAAGGGGCTTTCGAGGCAAGTGAGAAGCAGAGGTGGTTGGCCATGGCCTTCCTCTGCAGAGCCTTTCTTGGTGGTCTCCCATCCAAGTACTGACCCTGCCTAGCTTCTCCCAGCAAGGGGCTTTCGAGGCAAGTGAGAAGCAGAGGTGGTTGGCCATGGCCTTCCTCTGCAGAGCCTTTCTTGGTGGTCTCCCATCCAAGTACTGACCCTGCCTAGCTTCTCCCAGCAAGGGGCTTTCGAGGCAAGTGAGAAGCAGAGGTGGTTGGCCATGGCCTTCCTCTGCAGAGCCTTTCTTGGTGGTCTCCCATCCAAGTACTGACCCTGCCTAGCTTCTCCCAGCAAGGGGCTTTCGAGGCAAGTGAGAAGCAGAGGTGGTTGGCCATGGCCTTCCTCTGCAGAGCCTTTCTTGGTGGTCTCCCATCCAAGTACTGACCCTGCCTAGCTTCTCCCAGCAAGGGGCTTTCGAGGCAAGTGAGAAGCAGAGGTGGTTGGCCATGGCCTTCCTCTGCAGAGCCTTTCTTGGTGGTCTCCCATCCAAGTACTGACCCTGCCTAGCTTCTCCCAGCAAGGGGCTTTCGAGGCAAGTGAGAAGCAGAGGTGGTTGGCCATGGCCTTCCTCTGCAGAGCCTTTCTTGGTGGTCTCCCATCCAAGTACTGACCCTGCCTAGCTTCTCCCAGCAAGGGGCTTTCGAGGCAAGTGAGAAGCAGAGGTGGTTGGCCATGGCCTTCCTCTGCAGAGCCTTTCTTGGTGGTCTCCCATCCAAGTACTGACCCTGCCTAGCTTCTCCCAGCAAGGGGCTTTCGAGGCAAGTGAGAAGCAGAGGTGGTTGGCCATGGCCTTCCTCTGCAGAGCCTTTCTTGGTGGTCTCCCATCCAAGTACTGACCCTGCCTAGCTTCTCCCAGCAAGGGGCTTTCGAGGCAAGTGAGAAGCAGAGGTGGTTGGCCATTGCCTGCCTCTGCAGAGCCTTCCTTGGTGGTCTCCTTTCCAGGTACTGTCCATGCTTTGCTTCCGAGACCTGATGAGACCGGGCTCTACCATGCCGCCGTCCCTCCTAAATGCGTTGTAGGTTGATGGGAAACTTTTTGTTTTTCCAGAACAAAGTCTTGAGTCCAGTAGCACCTTTAAGACCAACAGTTTAATTCTGGGTATCAGCTTCCGTGTGCATTTCCTGTTGGTCTTCAGGGTACCACTGGACTCAGACTTCGTTCTGTTGCTTCAGACCAACCCAGCTACCCACCCAAATCTATTTTAGCTTTTGTGTGTCCTTAATTTTATGTTCCAAGTTTTAAGATGCCACACCGATTTCTCTGGGTCGGGCTGCCCTTTAAGATAGAATAAGGATTCACACAAGTCCTCTACCCATGATGTTGTGCATACGGGGAACATAGTAAAGGAGACAGGATGTGCTGCCTCACACACACCGCTATGCATGGTTGGCCCAAGATGGGCAGAGCACCCGTGCGCATGGGCTTGGCCAGGAAAGTCCTAAAAGCAGTATTCCCAATCACTGGGAGAGAGACCCTGGGCACGCACCGTTCGTACATGTATATGCACTGTACCCACACTGGCGTATAAGTGCTGTCAGGCCCGTGCATTAGAGCCCACACTCCTCTACATGCATGAATTAAAATTGCGTCTGTTTTAACTGTAGTGGCCTTTGGGGCTCATACAGCAAGTGCTCCTCCTCGGCATGGATTCAGGTACGTTGGTAGGGGTGGGAGGTGCCGTCAAGTTGCAGCGATCCAGTGGGGCTTTCCAGGCAAAAGGTGTTCAGGGATGGTTTGTCATTGCTTGCCCCTTTGCAGCAACCTTGGGCTTCCTTGGGGGTCTCCCCTCCAAGAACTAGCCAGGGCTGGACCCGCCTTCGCTTCTGGGATCTGACAAGATCGGGCTAGCCCGGGCCATCCAGGGCAGGGCAGATTCAATAGAAGAAGAGAAGAAGAGATTGGATGTATACCCCGCCCTTCAGTTTGGAGCCAGTTTGGAGCCAGTTTGGAGCCAGTTTGGTGTAGTGGTTAAGTGCGTGGACTCTAATCTGGGAGAACCGGGTTTGATTCCCCACTCCTCCACTTGCACCTGGCTGGATGACCTTGGGCAAGCCATAGTTCTGGCACAGCTGTTCTTGAAAAAGAGCAGTTTCTGTCAGAGCTCTCTCAGCCCCACCTACCTCACAGGGTGTCTGTTGTGGGGAGGGGAAGGGGAAGGGGAAGGAGTTTGTAAGCCGCTCTGAGACTCCAAGTGAAGGGCGGGGTATAAATCCAATCTCTTCTTCTTCTTCTTCTTCTTCTTCTTCCTTTCCCTTCCCCTCCCCACAACAGACACCCTGTGAGGTAGGTAGGGCAGAGAGAGCTCTTTCGATGACTGCTCTTGAGAGGACAGCTCTGACAGAACTATGGCTTGCCCAAGGTCATCCAGCAGGTGCAAGTGGAGGAGTGGGGAATCAAACCCGGTTCTCCCAGATTAGAGTCCGCACGCTTAACCACAACACCAAACTGGCTCTCACACATTTATGTGCACAGGATTACGGTTGGCTTTCCTCCGCCCGGACAGTCTGTTGATGGGATGCTTCTCCGCCATTCTCTTACTCCAGGTGTGGAGGCTGACGGGCTACGGTTTGATCCACTCCTTTAAACACGAGCACGCCAAGCAGTCCCTCTTCCGAAACCTGAGCGCCGGAGTCATGCAAATCGAAATGGCGCACGGCAGTCGCATCTTCTCCTGTGGAGCGGATGGCACCCTAAAAATGCGGGTGCTGCCAAACGCTTTCAGCCTCCCTTCCAGCCTTTGTGACATGCTGTAGGCGTCGCGCTGCCACCCTCCCCGGCTTCAGCAGGTTTTTTTTTTAAACTATATATTCCAGGGGAAAACAGCGTGAGGCTGGCCGTAGCTAGGGCTCCAGAAGGGACGCTGCCCGCACTTCGCTTCAGAGTCGTTCTGCAGTGTTTAACGCTATAGTTGAAATTGCAAAGATGAGCCATGTTTTGACTTTAAAAACAAAAAAACACCACTTGTATCGTTTTGAGCACTGCATCTATGGATCAGTGGGCTGGGAATGCATGCACTGTACTGGAATAGAAGTCCACATTCAAGCGATCACATGGCCATTACCCTGACCCACAAGCCTCAGTTAGTAAGCAAGCGCCACATGTGCTTGCAGATGTAGTTGATGCAAATCGATCTAGTTCTCTCTCTCTCTCTCTCTCTCTCTTTTTTTGGATGTAATTTCTGGATATTTTTTCCAAGTCCTTGACACTGATTTCAAGCATGTCTGCTGCTTCCCCCCCCCCTTTATTTCCTTTGGAAACAATTCAGTGTGACGAAGGGTATGGAATGCCAGTGTGATCTTATTTATCATCATTGGGGGGATTTCCAAAAAGTGGGGATGGTCACGTAATGGGACCTATGTGCAATGAGGAATGTACTGTGAGCTAATGTGTATTCACTGTTGAACGCTGATATCGAACCCTTCTCTTTTCCCCCTCCTCCTTCTTAGTATTAATGCACAGTTTGTACTGTAAAAATGCACAGAAGCACGTTTCGCAAGAGCAGTGGAGGGGTTTTCCTGAACTGGCACACTCCTTCCGTTTTCTGTGTCTTTGGGTAGAGATTGACATGACAAAAGACGCAAGGCTGCTGCTGAAAATGGCAGCATCGGGTTTCATTCCCGTCTTCCCCCTTTTGCAGTGTCTAGCATACCTTAGTGTGCTAATGTCCTTCTACTATGCTTTCCTCCTCCACTACCACCCCACTCCTTATCATTGACTTCTAGAGAGACACAGCAAAATGACATCAGAATGCAGGTTTCATTCGCTGTTACATAGGGGAGAGAGGAATTTGACACGGGTTACCATTTCAGCGGCAGCTCTGTGTCTTGTATGAAGTCTATTTTTGCCTTTTGACCCTGTTTTTTCTCCCTACACTGACTCCTGCCTTTGCATTAGGAATGTATTGTGAGCGTTAAATGTTTGTAGTGAACAGAAACCTATTTCTAGCCCTCTTCAGAACTTTGATTTTTTTAAAAAACACAATTATCCAAGAAAAAAACAAAGCTATAGGGCAAAAAACTACGGCTAGATCCATACAACACCACATTTCAGATGAATGTCAGGTTTTCATGTGGCCAGCTAGCTGACAAACCTGGTAATTGGAATTACCACAGCATATTGTATAAAACTATGCAGATGTCAATATTGTTTGCTTGTAATATACCAGCTACTGTTTGTCATATCTAGATGTATTTTTCTCTGTTGTAAAACAGGAAGACACATTCTTACTTAAGATACCGGAGCTGACGTCTGTGTATTTAAATGTTAACAAGTATTCCCCCCCCCTTCTCCAACGAGAATTTTGGTGTCTGTGGTGTACTGTAAAAAAAAAAAATGCAACTACTATGACAGGATAAAAATGCACCTTTTTGTCTAAAGACAGTTTTAATTGAAAGATGTGAAGTATGTATATGAAAGGAAAGGAAATGTAATTTGTTAGTTTTACCTTTGTAAGTTAAATAAATACATTTTATTTCACGGAAGCACCTCGATCCCCTTCGTCTTCCACGTTTCACTGCATTAGCAAGAGATTAGAAAAGGTGGCATTCATTGCCAGAGGATGTAGTGATGGCCACAGACAGAGACAGCTTTAAAAGGGGTTTAGACTGATGGAGGAGAGGTCTATCCGTAGCTACTAGCCATAGTGGCTGAGGGGAACCTCCATATTCAGAGGCAGTCAGCCTCTGAACACCAGTGCCAAGGAGGGAACATCAGGGAAAGCCCTCGGCCTCCATGCCCTGCTGTTGGCCCTCCAGAGGAACTGGTTGTCTACCATGTGAGACAGGATGCTAGACTGGATAGACCACTGGTCTGATCCAGCAGGGCTCTTATTCAAGTTTTTGGTATAACTCAAACAAGTGACCCTGATGATGTGGAAAGCAATTGAGGGAGGAAATGTGCCTAGGGCTGCCAATTCTTGGTGGGGGAAATTCCTGGAGAGTTGAGGGTGGAGCCTGGGGGAGGGGAGGGGAATCTATGGGGTACGATGCCACAGAGTCCACCCTCCAAATCAGCCCTCTCCTCCAGGGGAACTGCCCTCTATGCTCTGGAGATCAGCTGTGCCTCTCGCTTGTCATGGGTGACGCGGCCACACTGGTCCCCAAAGGGAGGGCAAACCCTAGCAGGTCTCTGGGAAGCAAAGCTGCCTTGTGCAGCTGAAGTCCTGTGACCGTGATGGCAGACTGTTGACACTGACTATGGAGGGTCTTGTGCAGATGGCAAAATGTAGAAGGAGAAGGACCTGAGGCAGAGAGTAGCTTCATTCTGGTGGAGCCATCACAAGTACGTGCACCGTTCCTTCTTCCAATTAGTGACTTGTCAGACAGGCTGCCCCCTCGTCCCAAAAGAACCTATGAAATATGTAACAGGCCCACCAGGGGGAGCGATACCTTTTGGGCAGCATTTTTGATTCTGTGAAAATGCTGTCGCCAGACAATGTTCACTTTCATGTTAGATGTTTTCAAGTGCAGAAGTGTGTGTGTGTGTTCTATCAAGTCACTTCCAACATGGAGTGACTCTTATGACTTAATGACCTCCAAAATGTCCTGTCATTACCAGACTTGCTCAGGCCTTACAAACTGAGGGCCCTCGAGGCTTCCTTGATTGAGTCAACCCATCTCCTGTTGGAACAAAGTTTGAGTCCGGTGGCACTTTGACGACCAACAAAGTTTAATTCTGGGTATAAGCTTTCATCCGTGCACACGGAAGCTTATACCCGAAATTAAACTTTTGTCGTTCTTGGACTCAAACTTTGTTCTGTTGCTTCAGACCAACACGGCTTCCCCACCTGCATCCATCTCCCGTTGGGTCTTTTCCTACTGCCATCAACTTTTCCTAGGATGATTGTCTTGCCTTCTCAGAATGTGACCAAAGTACAGTAGCCTCAGTTTAGCCATTTTAGCTTCTAGGGAGAATTCAGGCTTAGCTCACACATATGGTAGGCATGTGTTGCTACCCAAACATGTCAAGGTTTGGTTCTGAAGGGGTCCAGCCACACTTTCAGATGTATGGGAAGTGCTGGGGGCTTGGAGCCAGGAGCCTATGAAGTCCTTATGCCTTCAGCTCTGGTGTGCTGGAGCACAGGGTCTGCAGAGCCTGGGGCCGTGGGAGGAGAGCTGTCCTGGTCTTTAGCAGGGAGGCCCTTTCCGTTCATTCTTGAGGCTGTTCGTAATGCCTATGGCATTGGAAAGTATCGCCCTCCCGCCACACACCTGAGACATAGCCGTGGACGGCAGGAGAGCACGTATGCCAACCACATGCCACTTAAGCGATCTTGACTGGGGCTAAGTGGACGACCCTGTGACCGCACAAGGCTTCATTATGATCCACGTAACTGGGAGGGGGGATCAGAACACCATTTTGGGCAAAGCTTAATTCTGGGTATAAGCTTTCATGTGCACGCACGCAAACTTTGTTCTTCTGACACCTTACTAGTTAGAAAATGCATACATGGCACCTTCTGTGACCACAAGTAACCCCATTGACCTAAACAAACACATGGATTTTAATTACAAATTTTGGAGAATGACCTCAAGTAAATTGAATGACCCATAGTAACCCCAAACCTAATTGGAAATTTCGGCAAATGACCTGAAGTAACCCCAACGACCTATAATAACCCCTGGACTAATTGGAAATGTCAGTGAATGACCTGAAGTAACCCCAATGACCTATAGTAACCCCTGGACTAATTGGAAATGTCAGTGAATGACCTCAAGTAACCCCAATGACCTATAGTAACCCCTGGACTGATTGGAAATTTCAGTGAATGACCTCAAGTAACCCCAATGACCTATAGTAACCCCTGGTCTCATTGGAAATTTCAGTGAATGACCTCAAGTAACCCCAATGACCTATAGTAACCCCTGGTCTAATTGGAAATTTCAGTGAATGACCTCAAGTAACCCCAACAACCTATAGTAACCCCAGGACTAATTGAAAATTTCAGTGAATGACCTCAAGTAACCCCAATGACCTATAGTAACCCCTGGACTAATTGGAAATTTCAGTGAATGACCTCAAGTAACCCCAACGACCTATAGTAACCCCTGGACTAATTGGAAATTTCAGTGAATGACCTCAAGTAACCCCAATGACCTATAGTAACCCCTGGTCTAATTGGAAATTTCAGTGAATGACCTGAAGTAACCCCAACAACCTATAGTAACCCCTGAACTAATTGGAAATTTGGGGGAATAACTAAATAAACTCAATAACCTACAGTAATCCCTGGACTAATGGAATTTTTGTGGAATGACTGCATGAAACCCCAATAACGTATAGTAACTCCAAAGCAGAAATTTCTAATTAGACTTTTAATACCCTCAATGACCTAAAGCAACCCCTGGACTAATAAGAATTTTGCTAGAATCCCATTGATAGCCAACTCCATGCCAGGATCCAGCTGCACCCCCTGAAGCCGTGAGTGTGCTTCTTCGGCAGGACTGCAACCCTCGCCAGGCCATGCTCTTCCTTTCTTGAGTGGCCTTTTTCTTGATCAGCAGCACCTTGTTCCTGTCTAGACTGAGCTTCAGTTTATTGGCCCTCATCCAACCCATTACCTCCTCCAAGCATTTGTCCAGGACCCACCCAACTTAGGCACTGCGAACAAAGGCATCCAAGTGTCATCTTCCCGGTGGTGGAACATCACTCCACACCTCTTCCTGCAGTGTCATGTAAATGTTATGTAGCATGGAGGACAAGATGTAGCCCTGCGGGAACCCCACAACACAAGTGCCACAGGGCTGAGCAGCAGTCCCCCAACACCACCACCTGGAACTAGCCAGTGCCCCCAACTCCCAACCCAGTAAGCCTCCCTAGAAAGATACCGCGGTTGATGGCACCAAAATCCACACAATTTCCAGGAAACAGTGGACCCCGTCATCCTCCCAGGAAAGATCAGTAGCACGACAAAGGCAGTTTCCATCCCAAATCTAGACCTGGAGAGGGACTGATAAGGGTCCAGATACTTTGTTCTCTACCAAGACAGACAGAAGGGCCATGGCTCAGTGGCAGAGCATCTGCTTGGGATGCAGAAGGTCCCAAGCTCCATCCCCAGCATCTTCAGTTAAATAACTCCAGGCAGTAGGCGATGTGAAAGACCTCTACCTAACACCCTGGTGAAGCTGCTGCCAGTCTGAGTAGACAATACCGACCTTGATGGACCAAGGGGCTGATTCAGTATAAGGCAGCATCATGTGTTCAAGATGTCAGGGATCCCTGTATATATGTATGTATCCCTGTATATATACATGTCAGGAATCCCTGTATATTCACAGTTTTGCTTGCGGAAAACTAAGGCATTTATACTTAGTTATGCCAAACCATTCTGAACAGTATTTGCATTTTATACATCATAAACTATGCATCTGATGCTGTTAAAGGAATAAAATAAGCTTAGGTTTGATAAGAAAGACATACATATATTTCAGTTTTTCCTACAAATTTCCACTTTTTTCAAAAGAAAACAGTTTTCCACGGTTTAACAATTTGTAGAAATTTTACATCTCCAGTGGCAGGTCCTCATGGCACTTTACAGGCACGGCTAACAATCAGGCATGGTTACCAAACTGGAGTTTGACAAATGAACATACCCCCTCCTGTAAGCCATCAGCCAAAATACGAAAAGAATCCATGTGAAATCATGGAGGACCAAATTAGCAGGCCACATCTTTCTTTCCCTCAAAGAGGAGCCCCAAAAAGCTTGTTTTTGAGCAAAGATCTAGGGCCACAGAGCAGGTGATTTTATTTTATTTTTCTTTCTGTATTCAAGCTGGTTCAAAGTTGTAAAGGCCTGTACAGTTAAAAAGGTTAAAGTGGGTTGTGAAATTCTGAAAAATGTACCTTATGCATCTCACTCCCCAGAGAACACAAAGTGAGCATCTCTGAAGAATTACAGAAATGGTTCCAGGCATCAACACGCAACAGAAAGGCAAGAGATATTTACGGGCACGTTCATTACAGGGACTCGGCACAGGGGAGTTACAGCGGAACTTAAGGAAGAACTAACATTTTAAACTAGGGCTGCGTCACACTGCTCACTTCTAAGTTAAACCTCAGCTAAGAGGAGTGGTTACACCAGGTTTAGAAGATGGCACAGAAATGGGAGTGGGCTTCCTACGGCAGCAGAATTTTTATTATGGGATCAATTGCTGTAAAAAAAACCAACAACCAACCACAACAGAGTGTACTTAATTTGCAACTCCTTCATAACCGGAGAGTTCACACCCGGCCTTGGGCTACTTTGGTTGGTCCCAAAAAAGAGGTACAACCTTTAGAACCTTGTGGAACAAAAAAAATTGCAACCTATCCAGTACTGCACACAGCAAAATGCCCCCGCTGCTGATTTCCACAAGCCAAACCATGCACCACATTAAGAGGCGTAAGTGGCATGCCCCCAATTCTACTTCTACCTGGCCCTATCTGTTAGCCTGTTTCTTTTTACACCTCGCTGGACGGCGAGCATTGTCTGTCAGGATCAGGGAGCAGGCAGGTCCCGGGACTTGCCGGCAGCTGACTGCTTCAGAATCCCGCTGGAGACAGACGGCCCAGGGCTTCCAGGTGTGCTGACGGAAAGGCAGAGCTGCACAAGTAAAGTATGATTAGAAGCTGCAGCGGTAGTTTCACTTAGTAGATCAGCTAAAGCGTTGCCTGCTGGAGCAGATCTACAGGGCGCGGGGGGGGGATCGGGGGCTTCCCAAGCGGGGGGGGGGGGGGGGGGGGGGTGGGGGAGCACAATGCAAACATGGGCCACAGTTAGGCTTCCATGTCCTCAGGTAGTGGCTGAAAATCTTCCACAATCACAACTGGTCTCTCAAGTAAAAAAGATCAATTCACCTGGAGAAAATGGCTGTCTTGGACGGTGGACTGTACGGCATGACACCCCACGGAGTCCTCTCCCCTCCCCAAGCCCCGCCCTCCCCAGGCTCCGCCCCCACAATTCCTCCACCCGGAGCTGGCAACCGTAGCCATAACTGGCCTTGATCGGAACTAAGGGGGCGCTATGTGTGAAGGAATGATGTCACCAGGCCCCACCTCATGACATCACCAGGCTTCGCCCCATGAATTTCAGGGATGCGGGGGATTTGGCAACACCAAGGACCTCAAGTGGCCAAGACGAAAATCACCCAGAAAATCCACAGATAAAACTGCACGGCAGACTCGTACAGGAAGAACAAGAGATTGGATTTATACCCCGCCCTTCACTACCCAAAGGAGTCTCAGAGCGGCTTACAAACTCCTTTCCCTTCCCCTCCCCACAACAGGCACCCTGTGAGGTAAAAGAAGAAAAAGAGATTGGATTTATACCCTGCCCTTCACTCCCCAAAGGTGTCTCAGAGCGGCTTACAAACTCCTTTCCCTTCCCCTCCCCAAAACAGACACCCTGTGAGGTCGGTGGGGCTGAGAGAGCTCTGACAGAAACTGCTATTTTTCAAGGACAGCTCTTATCAGAACTACAGCCTGCCCAAGGTCACCCAGCAGCTGCGAGTGGAGGAGTGGGGAATCAAACCCGGTTCTCCCAGATTAGAGTCCGCGCACTTAACCACTACACCAAACTGGCTGTGGAAGTGAGAGGGGAGAGAAACCTTCAACCTCCACGTGGTCTGGCTGTTTGGAACTGGATCCCAGGTGTGGTACCTCAGCAGCTGGCTTCAAGCGGCCTTCCATGTGCTTCACTGGCCCCCAGTTCTCATGGCCCTACTAAACTGGTCCATGCTCAGAGAGGCAGTCAGCTGGAGGCATGGGAGCACCTGCTAAATGACCAAATCAGGGGGGAGGTTCAGGCATCGGTAGGCTTTGAGGGGCCCCCTGGACCATACATTGTGCACCCCAGAGTAGAACAACAACAAACTCTTTTTGGGTCCGCTAACATGTAGGATGGGCTATAATATTAAGCAGTCCTTTCTTCTACAGAGCCAGGAATGGCCTGCAAAACCTGAACAGGAATGACTGACACAACAGGGATCTTCATTCGCCCTAAAATGCACATTACATGAATGCAGTTTCAAACGTCGGCTCTCCTTAGACAGGAGGGATGAATTTACAGGCAGCTGGAGAAGAGCCTCCACGGTGGATGACTGCTTAACAGGGGCAACGGCAGGCCGAGTGATGGATGGTTTCCGCTGGGATGAGCTCAACTGGTGAAATGGACAGGGTACTGCATTAGGGACCCCTTCTCCCACGTGTAAAGATGCTTATCTCTCGGGTTGTAGGTGAGCATGGCCAGGTTGGACGGGCTCCGTTTCAGCTCGAAGCTGGCATCGACCTGCTTTTCGCTCAGCAGGTCAAAAGCAAACGTCACGTAGGAATCGTTTTTGTCGGTGACGTACAGCACCCCGCAGGCGATGAAGGCGTTGCCGGCTTTGGACTTCGGGTAGGTGGTGTTGATGTTCAGCATCACTGAAAAGTTCTCCTCTTCCACGTAGGCCACCATGATGTTTTCGTGGAACCTCTCCACGTACATCACCCAAAATCCCATCTCGTCCACGGCGATGTTGAAGTAGGTTTTCGAATAGGCAAAGAGGTAATGGCGCATGTGGCTCCAGGCTTGCTCGAGCGTGAGAGTTTTGGACAACTTCGTCCCCAGGTCGAATCTGCAATGGGTGTTCAAAGACAGTTCGTCATTTTCCGGCACGGCTGCTTTTGCTGGCCAGGCTCCAGGACCCATATGTCTATCGCCACACTGCCACCGCCTGGCCGGAACGTCCATTGCAGGGGTTCTTTCTGTAGCCGGCAAGCTTGGTTCGCCTTTACAAGCCTTGATCAGGACGTCTGACCGTCAGCTAACGCCCTCCCAGAAGGGAGATTGGCGTGCCCGCCCTCGCTAAGGAGCGGTTCCCATTTTATCTACTCGCCGAAGCTTTCAAATCGCTGGGTGGACGATAAGCTGGGGACAACAGGCTGGCTGCTCACACCAGCGCGGGGCTTGAACTAACACAGTTCAGATGTTAAGGCAGTTCAGATGTTAAGGATATACCCACTGTGCCACCGCAGAGCAATGGCCTTACCAAGGTGGGTGTGGTATAGCACACGAGACAGCTAAGGTGGTGCCAGGGTTAAAGTGTCAGATTAGGGTTCGGGGTGACTCGGGTTCGAATCTCCACTCTGCCATGGAAGCTCACTGGGAGACCTTGGGCCAGTCACAGTCTCTCAACCTAACCTCCTTCAGAAGGGAGAGGGGACCTCCAGGAACAGAATTCAAAGGAGTATTCTGGGATACAGCAGGAAGGGGGAGAGGCGAGAAAGTCATGTTCTGCACGGAGGAAATTGTTCCAGCCATGGAAATGCTCTCCTGGACTCAAACGACAACCTTAGCCCTTATCCCCCCCCCCAAAAAAAACCTGCCATAAGGGTCTCCACAAGAAATGAGAAGGGGACATTCAAATTGCACTGTGTAAATGCTAAGTATTATGTTACATTATTTATTAAAAAATGAATGGGATTTATTGATGAAAACGTTTGTTCCCTCCCTCCCCCTTTCCCACTCCACCCAGGCCTCCAAAGCGGCTTTAAAACACACGGGAACATACATGAACATACACGAAGCTGCCCTGTACTGAATCAGACCCTGGGTCCATCAAGGTCAGTATTGCCTACACAGACCGGCAGGGGCTCTCCCGGGTCTCAGGCTGAGGCCTTCTGTATCCTCCACTGCCAGATCCTTTAACTGGAGATGCCGGGGATGGAACCTGGGACCTTCTGCATCCTAAGCAGAGGCTCTTCCAACAAGCCACAAAGTTAAAAAAAAAATACCACTCTCTAGCAATCAAAGCAAAATAGAAACAAACTTTTTTAATTTAATTCATTTATTTTAATTATTTTTCCAATTTATACCCCACCCTCCCCGCCAATTTATACCCCGCCTTTCTCCCCAGTGGAGACCCAAAGCGGCTTACATCGTTCTCCTCCTCCTCCTCCATTGAATCCTCACAACAACCCTGCAAGGTAGGTGAGGCTGATTAAGAGTGAGTGGCCCAAGGTGACTCAGTGAGTTTCCATGGCACTAAGGAGAAATTCGAACCGGGGTCTCCCAAATCCTAGCCCGACACTCTGTTTGTTTATTTATTTGGCTTATAGACTGCCTGTTTGTTTATTTATTTGGCTTATAGACTGCCCTACCCCATCCTACAGGGCTCAGGGTAGTGAACAACATTTCAATAAATACACTTGTAATCAATTTAAAACAGTTAAAACAAAGATCTAGGATTATTTATGTCATTTCCCCTTAAGAGGATGAAAGATAACTACTACACTACACTGGTTCTCAAACCTGAAGCCAGCAGTCCTTAAAATAATTGATCGGAATAACAACAACAACAACAACAACAATAATAATAACAACAACAATAATAGGGTGGTGTACATCATATTTAAAATACAGTTCAGTTAAAAACATTCCAAAATATAAACTAATTAGATTAAAACCCAACCATGGATCATGGTTTCCAGTAAACCAGCGGAACCATTAACCTTCCGTTCTAGATGGCATTCTGCATGTGGTGACTTCCAATGTTCCCTCTAAGCTATGGAGTCTTGTGAGCAATACTTTGTGAGCTACTGGCAATAAAGTAGTGAGGAACGGATCTTCTCCAGGGGAACGGATCTTTGCATTATGGAGATCTGTTGTAATTCTCCAAGCCGCACTTGGAGGTTGCCAATGCTACACAGAACTATCGTAGAAGAACAGAAAACACCAGAGGCAGCAGATTACAATGTAAGGCCTATTCCAAGTTAGAATGCAATGGTGAAGTTCTGCGTTTCAGTTCCAGCATTTGGGAACCTTTCTGAGTTTGCACACACTCTCTCTTTTTGTGGTTTAGCACCTGGCATAACGGTACACAGGACTGACAACTGCCAGGCAGGGCCTGCCATTTCTCCTAGCATTACAAGTGATGTCTGGACTACAGAGACGAATACTCCCTCTAAGCTGTCGAGTCTTGTGAGCAAACATTCTACTTTGTGAACGACTGACATTAAAGCTGTGAGCGAGCGAGTTGGCTACTGCATAAATTATTTCGCTCTGGAGCCCTCCTTCCTGAGCGGAAACAACAATGTGTGAGCTAAAGGCCGAAAACCTGTGAGCTAGCTCACACTAACTCAGCTTAGAAGGAACACTGGTCACTTCCTCCAAGGGGCGGGGTTTCTAGGTCAGATGAGATGGAACAACCGCTGCTGTCCTCAACCATAGGCCTGGTGGAACAACTCTGTTCTCAGGGCCGGATTTAGACTTGTTGAGGCCCTAAGCTATACAAACCCCAGAGGCCCCCTACTGTTTTAAATTACATCAGCTGGTCTCAGAAAAATTTAAAATGTATACGCCTTTTAAATATTTGAAATCATTTTTATATTGTGTTTTTATTTGAGGCCCCAGCAGATTGCGAGGCCCTAAGCTGTAGCTTATTTAGCTTATGCGTAAATCCAGCACTGTCTGTTCTGCATGCCTGGTGGAACTGTGCAAGATCCCACAGGGCACGGATGTCTCCGGGTAGAGAGTTCCGCCAGGCGGGAACCAGGGCCGAAAAAGCCCTGGCTCTGGTAGAAGACATCACTTGGATTGAGGACAGCTGCACATCTCTTTGGATGCTACCAAAGGCTGGGAAGGATTTGGTTGGGTAAAACACAGATCTGTAAATAAAATACATTTTTGGGGGGGCATGGGACTTCGCCATGCAGTCTGCTAAACGAAAAGGGCAAATTTCAAGACACGGGCAGGACCGAAAAAGAAAGAAGCTCTTTGAAACAGTGCTGATCCTATTAGAAGTTTCCCCATTCCCCAGTAAACTTGAGGAGGCACTCCCGACTCTAGCCCATTCTTCCCATTGTCCCCCAACACAGAAGCCATCTAACTTGTGCTTATAAACCTCGGAGGAGGAAGGAGAGCCCACCACCTCCCCGCGAAGCCTGTTCCACAGAGGAACCACTCTAACTGTCCATAAGTTCTTCCTAACACTTAAAGAAAAGCTATTTTGATTTAATTTCAATCCATTGGTTCTGGTCCAACCTTCAATTCACTGGTTCTGGTCTGCAGGGGTCATTTAATAGAAAAAGAGGTGCAAGAGCTCATTAGCATAATGTATTAGCATAACTTATTTGCATATGCCACACCCCCGAACATCACCGGAAGTGTGGCTCCACTGGACTGTTTTGGATTGCTAGCTATTGGGGGGGACGTGCAGATCTGTCCTCACAGAGGAGGGAGAGCTTGCACCTGAATAAAACTTGGTGGGCCGGGGGGGGGGCTCTGCAACTTACCTGACTGCTTCTTGCTCCTCGTGGCCCAACTGAGGGCTGCTGGGAGCAGGGGGCAGGGCTTGTTGAATGTGCCCACCCCCTGGGCTCCTTACTGCCGGAGCTCCGCTCCTGTGCGCTCCCACAGGAAATGACCCCTGCTGGTCTGACCTCTTTTGTACGCAAAGTGGGAGAGGTATTTTGGATCCCATCCGCTGGATTTTATTTTAAAAGAAAACTGTCCTGCCGCCTTATTATTATTTCAACTTCTATACGCTCCATTCCCGCAGGCTCGGAGCGGTTTACATTGTAAATTACTTCTCCTATCTAAGGCCACAGTGTATATATATGGGGGAAAGGTGACTGCCTACCGTAGTAAGTATCATTGGAGCATTGGGGGGTGCTCACAATTCTCAGACAGATGTCAGAGAGGAGAGGGGGAAATCTCACAAAGAGATCTTCAGGCCTTGGCTGACATCCAGCGGAAAACATCACCTGCCTTAAGGCCGTCTCTTTTGGCCAAAGGTGGCACGGGCCTTGACTGTCCCCCAACACAGAACCATGACGGACAACAGATTCCATGTGTGGGGGGGGGGCACACAAACAGTGCAGTCCTGCACAGATGGCGTCAGGGGGCAGCCAGCCCAACAGCTCAATTCAAGCCCAGCAGCACCTCAGAGACCGACAAGAGTTTCGGGACCCCCTTCTGTCAGCTCCTTTCATATCTAGCTGTTCTACTGCCGACCGACAAGGCTGCCCTCTGAGGACATCTGAATTCAGTGGACTTAGACTGGAGCAATCTTCTGACCAGAGCCAATCCCAGAGACTTTCCCCTCTTCCTAGCAAAAGACAAAAGCCCTTTCCACTGGGCCAGGGTCTTGCCAAGCAGCTGGGAGTCCCACTGGTGGTGGGAAGAGGCGTCAAGTCACAGCTGACATATGGCAACGCCATACAGTTTTCAAGGAAGGCGGGGGAGGAGGAGGAGGGATTTATACCCCGCCCTTCACTACCCGAAGGAGTCTCAGAGCGGCTTACAATCTCCTTCCCTTTCCCTCCCCACAACAGACACCACACCAGCAGCTGCACGTGAAGGAGTGGGGGATCAAACCACGTTCTCCCAGATTAGAGTCTGCCACTCCTAACCACCACACCAAACTGGGACACAGGTGGTTGGCCATTGCCTGCCTCTGTGTAGAGACCATGGACTTCCTCGGTGGTCTCCCATTCAAATACTAACCAGGACTGACCCTGCTTAGCTTCTGAGATCTGATGCTGCTGGGCTAGCCTGGGCCATCCAGGCCAGGGCGGGGAGTCCCATTCGCTGAACAAAACCGAACGCCAGGAACATCTTCTCCTTCACTGGCCTATTCTCATCGAGGGAGAGGCCAAGAAGGACACCCCACCTGCTTGCAAAGGCGGATGTTTCTGTTGGCCCGCGCTTCAAGCGCAAGCTTTGGCTCCCTCCCACTGAACCCCCCTAACAAAACCACAGCTCTGATCTCGCCGCGTTGGACAAGCTAACAATGCACAGATGGCCTGTGGAGCGCCGTGAGCTTTGGGGGAAAGGCACCGCCTGGAGACCACAGTGACTCCCTGGCTGAGCAAGAGTCTTCCGTGCGGGCAACACTCCGGACACCAACTTTTGAACAGGCAAAGCCACGTCAAAAGGGAAGGGGCAGGGAGCAATTAAAAACTTAATTTAAAAGCCTCCCCCTTCCCCCACCCCCACCCCAAAGTCAGAAGATTTATTATTGGAATTGCCAACAGGAATTGAAAACAGACGTGTGGCGACTTCTCCTTCCAGGAAAACAGAAGAACGTGCAATCAACAGCAGTTATTTCACACAGTCGGAATCTAGACTGCCAGAAGGGGGAGAGAATTGGGGGGGGGGGGGTCAGAACCAGTGTTCCCTCTGGGTTAGTGTGAGCTAGCTCACAGGTTTTTAGCCTCCAGCTCACACATTTTTGTCTTAGGAAGGATGGCTCCAGAGCAAACTAATGTATGCAGCAGCCAAATCGCTCACTCACAACTTTAATGCCAGTAGCTCACAAAGTAGAATTTCTGCTCACAAGACTCCACAGCCCAGAGGGAGCATTGGTTGGAACCCCTGAACATCCTGGGGATTTGTGGAACTGGGCGTGTGTCTTGTTTTCCACAGTGTTCTGGATGGAACTGGGCGGTGTTTGAGGGTCCAGACCAAATAGTGGCTGGGGATTACCTTCTGAGCAGTTAGCCACATGGTACAGTCCTATTCAGAAATTCGAAAATTCTGATCAGAACACCAGGAGGAGGAGGAGGAGAGTTGATTTATACCCCACCCTTCACTACCCAAAGGAGTCTCGGCGCGGCTTACAGTCTCCTTCCCTTTCTCTCCCAACAACAGACACCCTGTGAAGGTAGGTGGGGCTGAGAGAGAGCTCTGAGAGCGCTGTGACTGACCCAAGGTCACCCAGCTGGCAGCATGTGGAACAGTGGGGAATCAAACCAGGTTATCTAGATTAGAGTCTGCTACTTGTAACCACTACACCACAGGAATTTTAGTACCAAGTCAGATGTACATACAGGGAACTAGTTGGAATGGGACTCTGATAGCCAGAAAAAAACTTAAGCAACATTGAAAAGCAAAGGAGAACTACCACAGGGTCACAACCCTTTACAGTTGCTTCGGGACCAACCACACTTGGACTCGTGGACATATGGAACTGCCTGTTAGTCTTGATCCTTTTAACTGGAGACGCCAGGGATTGAACCTGGGACTTTCTGCATGCCAAACAGATGCTTCCCCACTGAGCCCCATTACCCTTGATGGTCTGTTGCACTGTTTTTACAGATTTTGGGAAGCCGCCTCGATTTTGATAGGCAGCATCTCACTAATCCTTGCCATACTGTGGCATGGTTAGAAAAAATTAATAAACCACGACACATCAGCCTCGCATCCAAGTGTTTGGACACAGTGAAGATCCTTGTCTTTAAGACAGCTTTCAGCAACGTCAACCCCCCCGCATCACCTACTTACTTCACAATGTTGTTGGTCCCTATTTTCTGATAGTATACGGCGTTGTTATAGATGGTGTGGCCGCATCCGTAAAAGTGCCACGGGAGCTCGATGACTTCATAGCTGTCGTTCAGCAAGGCGACCATGTCGGCATATTCTTTTACTGTTTTGCCTGTGTGAAGAAAGCCCAGCTAGATTACAGCCAACCTAGAATCATAGAGTTGGGAGGGGCCATATGGGCCATTTAGTGCCACCCCATCCCTGACAGGTGTTTGTCCAGCCGCTGCTTGAAGACTGCCAGCGAGAGGGAGCTCACCAACTCCCTAGGCAGCCCATTCCACTGCTGAACTACTCTTACTGTTTAAAAAAAAAATCATAATTTCCAGCCGGTACCCTTCTGCCCATAATGTAAACTCATTACTATGAGTCCTATCATCTGCTAACAAAGGAGAAGGGGAAAGAAGCTCAACCGGAAATGTACTGAGAAGGCTTCAAACGTTGAGCTACAGCAATAGAATCTGTATCAAAAGAATTTGTTATATAGTGTACACAATAATGTAATTCAAAACACAGGGCCTGAATACCAGACTACATTAAGAGGCATCGAGAATAAGATTTACACAAACTATAATAATTTCCTCATACAAAGTTAACGATAAGTCTCAAATGACCACCACAAGTACACACGTGTTTCGGCCTCAAAGGCCTCCCTCAGTGGTCAATAGTACATGACATAGTTTTTAGAAACACATCCAAAAAATAAACAATGTAAATCAATCCTGACCAAGGGATGTTATCTCTTATATTGTGTGGTTTGATATTAGCTTATAAAGCAAACCATGGGTCCTTTCAGAAGAAGGAGGAGGAGGAGGAGATTGGATTTATACCCCGCCCTTCACTACCCAAAGGAGTCTCAAAATGGCTTACAAACTCCTTTTCCTCCCCCTCCCCACAACAGACACCCTGTGAGGTAGGTGGGGCTGAGAGAGCTCTTGACAGAAGCGGCTCTTTTTCAAGGACAGCTGTGCCAGAGCTTGTGACTGACCCAAGGTCACATCAGCAGGTGCAAGTGGAGGAGTGGGGAATCAAACCCGGTTCTCCCAGATTAGAGTCCGCGCACTTAACCACGACACCAAGCTGGCTGGTAACTATGCTCACACATAAATCGTCCATTGATCTGGCATAAAGTTTCAAGTATTTCTGGGTGTGTGTGTCATCAGCTAGCAAACGAAACACAACGGCCCTTGTCTGCTGCCAAGAGGAAGCGCTCCCTGCCCTCCTCTAAGTGACAGACTTTCGAAGAGAGCCATCATGTCCCCCCCCCCAACCTCCTCCCCCCCAGACTGACCATTCCCAAGTCCCTCAGCCTTTCCTTGTAAGGCCTGGTCTCCACGCCCCCCCCTCACTTGCCCAAGTAAAAGCCTCTGGAGGCAGGGCGGCTGAGCCACACTGGCTATTGAGGTCCAAGCTAGATGCCCCATTGGCAGCAGTGAGATTATGTTTTTGAAGCATAAATAGCAGCTGTGGGGGGGGGGATTCAGATCGGTGCCATGGGGCCACCCAAGATGGGACAAATACCAACTTCCAGCAGCCAACAGAGGCTGAGAAAATACAAGGGGCGCCCCCTCCCCCTGGAACCTTATGCCCCCAGTCCAAATTAGAGCTCACTGCCACTCTTTACCTTCCAAAAGTACCATACCCGTAGACGGTCTCTGCGTCCCATGCAGCTTGGCCCAACGTTCAAGGGGAGGGGGGCTCCAGTCTTCCACCACCCCTATGGGCCAACTGAAACACTACTATTTTCCATCATGGGTATACCATCTCCGTACAGGGAAGCTATATTTTAGACATGATGAATTACATTTTACAGATAAAGGGTATAGGAATGATAACCTTCACATGAAAATGATGCTGCCTGAAGCAGCCTTTGGAGCAGGGGAGGGGCCATTTCAGACCAATTGAGGGGGGTGGGGACGACAAAGGGGTTTTGTCATATTCGGCCTTGCTCTGGACAAAGCAATTCTGAAGATGGTGGTAAATTCTGGATCAGTTCCACCCGAGGAAAGCCCTTCTGTGGGATGTGGGGCTCCTACTCAGCAATCTTCTTTGTCCAAAATGGTTAGAAAACCTGTCCCCCCCCCCCACCCCCCGAAATCTTAGGCCGGCACCTTCAAACACAGAGAGCAGAAATAATTCTTCAGGCATGGAAAGGAGATGGAATTCTTTCCCCCACCACCACTTTCCATCTTCTCTGGGACCCAAGCAGTAGATGGTCAGATGAAACAGAGAAGAATCCTCTGGACGCCACCACAGGCAAAGAAGACCCCATACCCTTAGGAGCAGGCGTCGACTGGGAGGCAGTCAAGCCACGGAACGGCTAGGCCAGGACGGTGCAGCAAGGACAGCCTCTTGTCCCTCTCAGCTGCTGCTCTGCAGCAGGTGGTTAAGTGTGCGGACTCTAATCTGGGAGAACCGGGTTTGATTCCCCACTCCTCCACTTGCACCTGCTGATGTGACCTTGGGTCAGTCACAAGCTCTAGCACAGCTGTCCTTGAAAAAGAGCAGTTTGTGTCAGAGCTCTCTCAGCCCCACCCACCTCACAGGGTGTCTGTTGTGGGGAGGGGAAGGGAAAGGAGTCTGTAAGCCACTCTGAGACTCCAAGTGAAGGGCGCGGTATAAATCCAATCTCTGCTTCTCTTCTTCTTTTTTTAAACCTATCTTACCAGCTCCCATGCTTGGTACCCAAGTTTCCCCTTGTCTTTCAAGCTCTGAAACAATGAGGGCTAGAGCCTTGATTTCAATGGTGTGTGTCAAGAGCCGTCAAGTCAGAGCCAACTTATGGCGACCCCAGCAAGGGGCGTTCGAGGCAAGTGAGAAGCAGAAGTGGTTGGCCATGGGCTTCCTCTACAAGGTCTTCCTTGGTGGTCCACCCTTCCAAGGACTGACCCTGCTGAGCTTCCGAGATCTGACGAGATCAGGCTGCCTCCCCTCCCCTGCATTTCAACTACCAGCGCCTTCATCATGTATTCTTCCCTAGCCAGCAACTAACTCAACTTGTCATTCCTGAACTTAGAATCATAGAGTTGGAAGGGCTCCACGGAGGCCATCTAGTCCAACCCCCTGCTCAATGCAGGATCAGCCTCAAGCATCCCTGACAAGTGTTCGTCCAACCACTGCTTGATAACTGCCAGTGAGGGGGAGCTCGCCACCTCCCTAGGCAGCCAATTCCACTGCTGAACTACCCTTAGGGTAAAAGAAATTCCTAATATTTCCTAATATACTGCTGGTACCTTTCTGCCCATAATTCCACCCATAATTTAAACTTCTCTTGCCTGTCCCAGTCTTACCCACATGATCCTGTAAATCTTTCTGGGGAGAGGGCACCTCTGTTTCATCTGTAGTGGGTATCACACATAAATCTGGGAGGATCTATAACAGTAATGCTGATTTCCAAATGCTCTGAGATGCCTAGTCCTAAGAACGTCCCTTCCATCCTCCGGGGACACCCTGATACCTGTAAAATGTTCCGTGATCCAAATCCGCTCGTCGCTGTGATTTGCAGCATCCATCATCCACACTCCAAAAGTCTCTTTCACCTTCTTAATCTCGACAGGGCTTCCTATCGACTTTATGATGCATTCTAGCAGAGGGAAACAACAACAAATCTATCAATGGCTACTAGCCATGGTGACCGAGAGGAACGACCACATTCAGAGGTGCTCTCTGAATCCCAGAGCCAGGAGGCAACGTCAGGGGAAGGCCTCTGCCTCTACGCTCTGTTGTCAGCTGTCTAGAGGAACTGGTTGTCCACTTTGTGAGACAAGATGCTGGACGAGATGGACTACTGGTCTGATCCAGCAGGGCTCTTATGTTCTTATGAAAGTCTCAACCTCTATGCCCTGTTGTTGGCCATCCAGAGGAACTGGTTGGCCCCTGTGTGAGACAGGATGCTGGACTAGATGGATTATTGTCCTGATCCAGCAGAGCTCTTCTGGTGTTTTTATGAAGGCCTCGGCCTCTCTGCCCTGTTGCTGGCCCTCCAGAGGAAGTGGTTGGCCCCTGTGTGAGACAGGATGCTGGACTAGGCGGACCACTGGTCTGATCCAGCAGGGCTTATGTTCTTAAAACTTGATGTCACTAAGTAATCAAGCAGATTGCAAAAAAATAGCTCTACCCCAGATTTTGCAAAAGCGTACCTGATTTTTTGTGATACAGGTTTGCCTTTTCTTCAGCTTTTTCTACCAGAGTATCGTCATTTGGAACTGCACACGTCTCCCCTAAATTTGTACAGGAGAGAGGAGCACCTGTGAGTCTTTTGGCCTAAAATGTAAATTTGTAATTTAGCCTACAGCAAAGGGTTAAAAAAAAATCAAGATAAACGATGGTGGACAGTTGAGAGAACTGGCAAGTATTAGAGGACTGCTTATAGAAAACAACCAATTCAGACGCAAAGACTTTTCCTGGCTTGATTGTTTTTAAAGTCAGACCATGGAAATGAAGACCTCCGTCTTGTTGGAAAGAGAGCTACACACGTCACCCTGGATGCTCAGGGGACAAACCAGATTTGACAAGCTTCTGTTGCATCATTTCTGTCTTGGAGAACATTTAGATTCCGATGCCTCTCCAGCTCTCGCCATGTGGGATCACCCCTAAAGAAACATGTGCACTGCTGAAGTGATAAGTAACAATCAAGTGAGGGTTATTGTGCTGCTTTCCCCACACACACACCAACCCCCCCCACCAACCCCCCTCCCAATTTGGGCGTGAATTTCTTTTTTGCATTTTAATTCCAACTTTCCTCCAAGGACCTCATGGTAGAAACATTAACTCCCCCCCCCCCGTTACAGCCTCACAACAACTTTGCAGGTCTCATGGATGGGATGGGGTAAGATTTGGTGGGGGGTTGCGATGCACTGTTCCCTCTAAGCTGAGTTAGTGTGAGCTAGCTCACAGTATTTTAGCCTCCGGCTCACACGTTTTTGTCTTAGTTCAGGAAGGAGGGCTCAAGAGCAAACTAATTTATGCAGTAGCCAAATCACTCGGTTGCAACTTCAATGCCCGTAGCTCACAAAGTGGAATTTTTGCTCACAGGACTCCACAGCTTAGGGAGAGCATTGGTGCTATGTAACAATTTGTTACTATACCTAGAGAAATGATGCTTGGGTCCTGATGTTGGAGAGCATTAGTAGGAGCTCATCAACATATCCTTCCCCTGGTACATGCTAATTGTGGCATAGAGGGAAAGCTGGTGCTAACCATGGTGCTGAACAAGAGACGAAAAGTTAACCATGGTTCGGGCTAACAATAGTTAGTGACGGCACAAACAGATAAAGCAAACAAAAAAAGATGGGAAAGAAAGCGGAAAATGAGGAGGGGGGCTCATCCTAGTCTGTAACATCCTCCTGACCTTCTAAGTGTATTTAGGGGCCCCTTCCCCCACCATTATCCACACCAGGCTACAGTTCAGAAGGACGACACAGCAGCTGGTCTTCCCTATTCCTTCCATGTGGTCTCTTTACTCTGGCACCTAAACCTAACCATTGAGCTCATTCTAGGCAGGGACCTGGGTATCCCCACTATCACACAGCAAAACTGATCCTGGGCATGTAAACACAGAAAAATGCCCAGAACTGAAGGAATGGAAATATAGATTAATTGAATATGCAGCAGTGGCAAAACTAATGACTTATACTCACAACAGACCGATCTCAGAATTCCAAGATAAACAGAAAGTATTTTTCAATTATATAGAATTTCACAGAATCGTAGAATCACAGATTTGGAAGGGGCCCTACAGGCCGTCTAATCCAACCCCCTGCTCAGTGCAGGATCAGCCTAGAGCATCCCTGACAAGTGTGTGTCCAGCCACTGCTTAAAGACTGCCAGGGAGGGGGAGCTCACCACCTCCCTAGCTGACAATCAGGATTAGATTGTTAAACCACAAGATGATAAAAAAGTCAGGCAAATATATGTTTGTCAAAATGAACTACTAGATACGAAACAATTAGGAAAAGATGGAACAAAGTTAAATGGAAGTGTAAAATTAAGAATATATACAAGTATGTTATAAGCAAGTAAGCTCTGAATGACAATTGTTAACAAATTATGATGGTTACGTTTGTGTTCTATGTACATGGCTTACGTTATGTGTATGCATGATTTATATATTGTAGATGACATAGTCGTAGAAGATGAAAGATGATTGTTTATGTAAGATGACTGTGTCTTATGTATGATCGATTGATCATTGCATTACGATATATGTTCATGTCTACTTTCATCTTTATAAATTAAAAATATATATATATTTTTGAAAAGCTGATTCTGGGAGCAGATCTCAGCAAAACAGAGACCATGCTCTGAGCATGCAAAGACCAACTTGAGCATAAAAAGCGTGGCCAATGTTTGGTGAACCCAGAGACAGTGAAGAACAAGGGGGCTGGACAGGATTTCCGGTCAGGTGTTGGTCTGAAGCAGCAGAACGAAGTCTTGAGTCCAGGGGCAGAATCTCCAAAACCAACAGCAGAAAGGAGAGAACCAAAACCATAAACAGATCATATAAATAGTATTTTTAAAATAATAATAATAATAATAATAACAAAACAGGGAACATTCACTCCTACCCACTGCCAATCAGAGTATATGGTACTGAACTAGATGGGCCAATTAACTAAAAAGCAACATACATTCAGGGCGATTTCTCACTAGAACTGCTTCACAGCGCAGCGCCGTTTGCCCCAACACAAACATGTTAATTTCACACCCGAGGCTGCGGGGCTGCATTTGACCTGCGGCTTCGCCCGATTTCCTCCACAGTTTCATGATCCTCCTACGGAGGAAATCGGGCGAAGCCTCGAGTCAAAATGCAGCCCCGGAGCGTTGGGTGTGAAATCGACACGTTTGTGTCAGGGCAAACGGCGGCTGTGCTGCGAAGCAGTTCTAGTGAGAAATCGCCCTCATAATCCTCTAGAACGAACATGGGGAGGGGCCATGGCGCAGTGGCAGAGTATTTGCTTGGCACGTGAAAGGTCCCACGTTCAATCCCTGGCATCTCCAGTTAAAAGGATCAGTTTGTAGGTGATGGGGAAGACCATGGACCTGAGTCCCCGGAGGAACAGCTGCCAGTCTGAGTAGACAATACTGAACTCGATGGACCAAGGGTCTGATTCAGGACCAGGCAGTTTCGTGTATTCACGTACGGATCTCCATAGATGCAGGGCACATAAACAGAGATTCCAGTGCACACAGGGAGCTCCATGCCTCGGGGTATTTTACACAGAAGCATAGGGCTGGAAAGGATCTCCGGAGTTATCCAGTCCAACTCCCTGCACAACACACCTCATTCTCCCAGTGACCCCTGCTCTATGAGCAGAGGAAGGCAAAAACCCTCCAGGGTCCCTGGCCAATCTGGCCTGGAGGAAAATTCCTTCCTGACCCCAAAGTGGCAACGGGCATTACCCTGGGCATAATAAGAAAGGGCCACGAGAGCCGAGCACTGGCTCATCCCTTCCCTCCCCTCCCTCTCACCATCTGCCTAAATTCATAGTGAGTCACAGAAGCCATCTAACCTGTGCTTATAAACCTCGGAGGAAGGAGAGCCCACCACCTCCCCGGGAAGCCTGTTTCACAGAGGAACCACTCTAACTGTCCATAACTTCTTCCTAACATTTAAAGAAAGGCTATTTTGATTTAATTTCAATCCATTGGTTCTGGTCCAACCTTCAATCCACTGGTTCTGGTCTGACCTCTTTTGTACGCAAAGTGGGAGAGGTGTTTTGGATCCCATCCGCTGGATTTTATTTTAAAAGAAAACTGTCCTGCCGCCTTAACGTAGTAAGTGTCATTGGGAGCATTGGGGGTGCTCACAATTCTCAGACAGATGTCAGAGAGGAGAGGGGGAAATCTCACAAAGAGATCTTCAGGCCTTGGCTGACATCCAGCGGAAAACATCACCTGCCTTAAGGCCGTCTCTTTTGGCCAAAGGTGGCACGGGCCTTGACTGTTCCACAGAAAAAGATAAAATGCTGTTTTAGAAGGCTGCTGGTACAGCGTGTGGGGGTGGAAAGTGCCGTCAAGTTGCAGCCGACTTATGATGACCCCACACGGTTTTCAAGGCAAGAGACATTCAGAGGTGGTTGGCCATTGTCTGCCTGGACTTCCTCGGGGGTCTCCCATCCAAGGACCAACCAGGGCCGACTCTGCTTAGCTTCCAAGATCTGACACGATCAGGCTAGCCTGGGCTATTCCAGGTCAGGGTCTGGCTATACCATCCATACATAGGAAAGCCAGAAAAATTAGAGGGCTCCCACTCCCATTCTATGGTAGCACCAGACACCCTTTCTCAAAAGTTCAAGTGTCCCCAAGCTCAACAATGGGAGGAGGAGGGCTCTAACCGCTACATCCCACCAACTCTACCAGTTGATTTTTCTACAGGAGGCCACACAGAAAAAAAAACATTTTCTATCCATGCATGAATATTTTATTCTTCAGAAAAACCAGGAATTTTGCACTGTTCCTCTGAAATCTGGCCTTAGACCATCTTGACCCGTTCAACTAGGACAAGGGAATTCTTACTCGGCTACCACTGTTCCAAAAGTTCACACTGTGCTGCATTCCAGCTCTTCCTTTATTTTGATTTCACTTGGAGAATTTCAGAAATTAATTCCAGAATTGAGGCACGTGTAATTTGCTCTTTTCACATCCACACCCCCACATTACCGAAGTGCCAGACTGCACAGATATAAACACTGCAAAAAAGTACTCTTGGGAGGAGAAGAGAATGCAGAAAAGCACTCTTGACCAGATCACATTCATGGCTGCACAAAGATTCTTTTTGTGCGGTGTTTTCTGCACACATGATAAAGCACACAAGAGAACCTTGGTTGCAAGAATACAATCATTCATCAGGAGTGTTTTGTTGTAGTGTTTTATCAACGCACTATGACAGATAGATCAAGATGGGTGGCCACGTTAGTCTGCCTGTAGCAGTAGAAAAGAGCAAGAGTCCAGCAGGACCCTAAAGACTAACAATAGTGAAGAAGTGAGCCGTGACTCAGGAAAGCTCCTGCCCTGCCCCATGTTTTGTTAGTCTTTAAGGTGCTCCCGGACGCTTGCTCTTTTCTAAGTGTATGTCAGTAACATCAGGAAAGAAACCTTTCACAAACACTAAATACTGCACTTCCAATCTGCTTTCAGTGCACTTTGCAACTGGATTTCGCTGTGTGAAATGGCAAAATCCACTTGCAAACAGTTGCTGAAGTGGATTGAAACTGCATTA